TACCTGCATAAATTTAAAAATTAATTTATTAATTAAAAAAATTTACTTTTGGTCATGATAAAACAAACAAATTACCTGGTAGCTAATCATTTGAAATTCTCAGGATCACATAAGAAGGTATATTACATTATATGGGTCGAACATTTAAATTCTAAAATCAAAAATTATTCCATTTTTAAGAAACATTCTTAGTTTAACTAGTAGTGTATCAGGTGATTAATTATAGTGAGTACATTAATATTTCAGAAAGTATTAACTTTTACCAGAATTTGTTTTCGTAGAACATTTAAGAGACAAGCTGCTCCATAATTTTATATTTATGTTATTTTTTTGTCAACATAAATTTTGGGGGCAAAAAACAACATACTTTTGATTTTCAAGTGGCATTGTTTATGTCCATTAAAAGATTTAGTATTAGTTTAAATACATTTTTGTGTGGACATTTCTGATTTCTGTCAAGGTGTTGGCGAAATATTCCACTTTTATATTTGGGTGTGAGGAAAACAGTGGAGTATAATTTATGTGGTGCGGGGTGTTAATAATACACCAACTATTCTCTTCCAACTTAAAATTAAAAATGATATCTTGTAAACATTTGGAGAGAAATCGAAAATGTCAACACTAAAATTTATTTTAACTAATGTTCAATCTATTTATGGACTTTTTAATATACGTTAGGTTGCCATTTAAAACTCAAAACTAGATAGTTGTTTTACCCCCAAAAAATAACACAAATATAAAATTATGAAACAGCTCGTTTCTTAAATGTTCTAGAAAACAAATTGCGGTAAAAGTTAATGCTTTCCGCCATAATGAGTATACTCACTTGAATGAATCACCTGGTATGTTAACAAAATTACCGAGAGGTAATTGAAAATCATAACTCCATAACACGTTTAATTTTTTTTTTTTTTTTTTTTTTTATCAAATTAATGTAGCAATCTTGATTAAAGATAAATTACCTCCTTGCTGTACACCAGAAGTAGCAATACGAGTCAGACTTCACTTGCCAAACTCAACATGAAACCCTAAAAACACAAAAACAGTAATTGTAAATTATTATATTCTTTTTTTTTTTTTTCTGTATTGTATTTATTTTTATAATATCATATTATATTAATATAATTTCCAATAAGTATATGTATGATTGTGTTTATTTCATGTCAATTATATAAATTAAATAATGAACAATAAAAATGTAATTATTGTCCTTTATCAAACCACACTAGAACAAAAAGGGATTCATTGTGGTTTTTTAACTATAGTTTATTTTTAAATTGATATAAATAGGATATTATAGATTGTATTAGAAGAGTTATTTGGTACGCTAATAGACTTCTATAGTAGTGAATTCTGGTTTCAGTACTATGAATTTTTAATAATTTTAATACCTACCAATAATATTTAAATTAAATACAAAATGTTTAAGGTCATCAGTTTGAATTTGTAATTTATTTACGGTTTTAATATTAGGTACCTAGTTATAATTTCTCACACAATTTTCTGCAATGAAACAAATATGACAACTTTTCTCAACATGTTTTCTTAATTTCTTTCACTTACCCCTTGACCTCTCACCACTGCTTTACGGACCCTCAAATGTCAACTTGTCATATATTTCCACATAAAAATGATACGAGTTTCCGAAATAAGTTTAATAATGACAAATTTGGAAATATTTATTTTAATCAGTAGGTGTAATGTACCTATTTGTCAATTCAGTGTTGGGCAAATCATAATCTGATTAATGATTATAGATTACAATTCAAATTTGTAGTTATTACTTTATCGTAATATAAAGCTATAATGTCATGTATTGATGACGATTACAAAATACTTTAATTTGTAACCATGATTACGTAATTTAATTATAAATTAATCGACTATGCGCAACGCTGTAGTGTCATACAATATTTACAGAAAAATAATATTAAGTCAACAATTTATTATTATCAGGTAGTATAGGTTATAAATCTAGTTTACGACCCAAGCTCGGTATTTAAATGTTTTTTTTTCAAAATATGTTTTTTTGCCTGTACATTAAGAATATCATTAAGAAATTAAAAAAAGTCGGACCAACTTTGTTTGGAAATTGTAAGGGAAAACTTCATGAACTTAAGGTTTGCCGTTTAGAGTATTTCTTAGTGAGAATTTATTATTTTCAAAATGTGTGATTCTTAATGCTTAATCTCCATAAGTATAATCAAAACGTACCGATCATACCTAATTTTATAGTTATTGTACATAAACCTTGAAAAATAGCATTTAATCCAAAATGTCATTGTTTTCATTATTATTAAGTGTGATTTGTAGTTATTGATATTTTGATAACAAAGTTTTTTTTTATCGAAGTCAGAATAAGTCTATCCGGCTTAGATTTAGTGCTATAAACGTTCCGACCCTACTGAACCCGCTAGGTCTCTAGGTGCACCCAAAATCCTTTTTCACTTTTCCCTATTACCTACCCAACGTGGATTTGCACAACAAATCGAGGATTATATTCGATTAAAATTGTCAAAGTGAGCGCGGCGAAACCCGGCGCGTATGAACGTTTGTGACTCTAAATCTTGGCCATATTGACTAATTCCGACTTCAATAAAAAAAATCTTCGTCTTCAAAATATTAATAACAACAAATTATAATAATAAAAAAAATGTCTATTTTCGACCACATTTTGGATTTATTCTAAAAATGCTATTTTTCAAGGTTTATGTACAATGACTATAAAAATAAGAATGATAAGTACGCGTTTTGATTATACTAATGGATTAGGCATTTAAAAATCACACATTTTGAAAATAAAAGAAAAAAAATTGAAAAACGAGCTTGGGTCGTAAACTAGATTGGTTCCAAAAGATAATGCCAGTTGTGTAGGTATACTCATAACTAATATTAGTCGGCAATACAATAGTAACTATAAAACCTGATCTTTGATCTTGGATTACATGGACCATAGAACACGGATTGGCTCCGGTGGATCCACGTGGTGACCGCAACAAAACTGTATTCACTTGAGAAGTTGGGTGCGGGTGGAACGGGCGGAACTCCTGATGGTTCGGACGCGAACTAATTTGCGGGATCGCGCCGTTGAAACGGACGAAATCTAAGGCGACGTTAGGATCTACTCGCCGACACGACCAAAGCCCGGTGGTGACCGAGGCGATGGACCATCGGGGTGCAGGTCTGGGTGCCAGGCGTTGCTCGCGAGCCGCGTGTCCTTTCGATAGGTAGCGAACGGCATTCGATACGTACAAACGCGAAGAGACCGCAGAGGCGCGAATGTTTTCGACAACAATTTACCGGCAGCGCGGAGCTCCGGGCGACGGACGAGCGCCATGTTCAGCCGAGATGTTCATACTAATGGACGATTAGCATCAACAACTACATCGTCGGAGAACAGACGAATATTTAATTGAAGTATGATTGACCGAAAAATGACGTTGAACAAGTGATTTATCGGAGACGTGCGGCAAGGCCCGCACGTTATTATATTTAAATATACAAAACGGAGATGAACCGGTACAGGGTTGAATACAGTTAGATTTGCGCGCGATACATATAAACAAATGAAAATAGTTACAAAGGGAAATAATAACAGTGTACTCGAAAACTTGATCACACGGGTGTACATAAACAAATGGTTACTAACCTATAAATTGATACAAAAAATTACAAATCACGACCAGATGTTATCGGCGGCGGTCCAATGTGGTTTGGCAGATAAGCAGCGATAGTGGCGAATTGACGGCGACAAAAGTCCCACGAGGTGGCGATGCTTATGCTCCGAACTCTGTTTGAGGTTAGGTGGAACGCGGACGACAATTGTTCCACTAACCAGCGGTCAAAGAAGCACGGGCGCAAAATCGCATAGAGCGGACGATACAGCGCGAACGCGTGACGAAACGTACCGTAGCGGATATAAACGAACATGATTGAGCTCCCGTTAACTGAGGCTTGGACGACGGAGCCGCAACATGAGCACGGCACAAAAAACGGCTCGTTGGCGCAGACACGAGCGGTGTCGACGTGAAACACGGCGATTATGTGATATGCGGTCGTTCGCGCCCGAAACTAGAGTCGGCAAACGACCCGACAACATCAATGGACAACTACGGACACCAAAAACGCGACTTTGGCACGAATCACAGCAACGGACGCAAATCGACAAGCCACGAGTGTACGGCATAGGTCGCACAACAACACACACTCGTCGAACCGGCGAGCGGTACGGGACGCGCGACGACTATGGTCAGGGGGAAGCGGAGGTGCGGGACGGTCTGTCCGATAACGCTGGTCGGTATCGGTGATAACGATGCGCGAACACGCCAACAACAACAAAAAACCGGTTCAATGAATAAACAGAGAATTAGCGAGATACCCAGCCGGCGTACGTTTTCCTGCAAAGTACCGACGGACGCGGGGGTCAAAACACAGCAAAACGGCGACAGACTAATCGAAAATGAAGCGCCGGACGAGACGCCGAACTATAGAGATCAAACAACCCGGACGATGGATACAGTGATGCCGGGTTAAAATATGTGAATTTATGTGGTTGCATTTGTTACCATACAACCGGCTGATATTAAATATTTATTTTTTTTTTTTTTTTTTTATGTTAAAGTTTGTAAAAATAATAAAAATGTCTATACTTTTGTACAAACTATGTTTATTTTATGTTCGTACACTGCTCCTAAAGTTCATGAACATGTTCGTACGCCCGGCAGCACCGGGTGAATCCGACGCGAATATTCGCAGCAGCCGGGTGTGCGTGGGGGGAAGGGAAACCGGTCAGGGCGGCATCAACACATTTCAAAAACAACACTACACCGAACTGTCGATTTTTGGCACAAAACCGTAAACACACTGTTTCACAAATAACAAGCCATTTCAATCAAATACAAAATATTTCACTTTTTCCGCTTAATACTTTCCCGATAGTTTTAAAATTATATTAATTATATTAAGCTATAATATACGGTGTTGTTATGTATTGACATAGGTCAGGACGCTTACAAACTGTTACGTGATTTGTGTACGCCACAATTACCCAAAAAAAACGGTGTGCGGTAGTGGATACTGGATTTTGCGTAAGGCAAAGACTTCAAATAAGTCCATTAAAAATATAATGTAATAAACCTTAATATGAAATCAAGTATTAAATAGTTAGGTAGTTAGTACTGAACAATGGTCAGTTAATACAAGAAATAATAAATTAAATTAATAAAATATCAAGAAGGAATTGTTATCACTGGTTGTTATTAATTTTTCATACCTATTTATCAGATTAATTTTTATTTGGTAAACATAGTACTGAAAAATTTATTTGCAAATGAAAAATGAATTATTATCAATGTTATATTATTTGTAAAATAACATGTTATTCAATGAATAAATGCGATTGAAAAACCCAAATCCTTAGTTAAAGTAGGTATTAGTATTTATATTAATTGATATTTATAAATTTAATATTTTTATGGAAGAAAATAATAAAGTTATGTTGGTTATTGATTTATTAATAAAAACGTACAGAAATTATGTGAATTATAGACAAAAATATACAAAATGACTATAATGTAATATTGTATTACTCCAATAACACTGAAAATTTCAACATAACAAATGTTGAAATTTTATAAACAACAAATACATATTTTATTAATTATGACATGTTCAAACATTGATTATTTGGCACTAAACTATTTCAATTGTCTAAAAAATTTGTTTAAGAAATATTTCAGAATAAACTATAATATTAATAAAACTTTAAGCAAATTTTATTTATCTTAAATTTAAATTATGATTATATATTTATATATATACATTATTTTATTTTGTCCTATTACCACAGAAATTTTACTATGTGCTACTATAGCTGCTGCTTGGGTTTGTGAGCACCTTATAGACAGTTTATAAATCAATTTTATAAATAATTGTATGTCATAGGCAAAATAGTCAAATCAGGCATTTACTAAATGCCTAGGAAAATTTGTATACAATTTTATTATCCGCCTAGAAATTTAGTTAAATGCTTAGTAATTGAATAAAATGCATATTTTAAGTCAGGCAAATAATCCAAATGAAATGTCTTTATATTATTTTAAAAACTAAACTTTATTTTCTTATTAATATTATTTAATCTAACAATATAAAAATAAAAGTTTACCTTTGGAAATTATTATATCTAATTATATCTTTTCTATATTGAACACTGGATAAATTAAATTCAAATAATGGTTTAGAAGATAACAGAGTACCCAAAGACAAATTTGTATCCATAAATAAAGCTGTAGCAAATTTGTTCAATTTTAATGGTCGTTTTCATAAATTATATGGAAGGGGCAATGGCGAGTCAAGTCTATGTTTATGATTTAAAAAAAAATTTATATGTTCCAACAACTGCCACCAAAAAATAACATGTATGAACAAGTATTAACTAAAAATTTGGAAAAATTTGTATTCATTTTTTTATACTTGAACTATAATTATTATTAATTACCTATGTTCATTTATAATTTAGTTAAGTTTCAAAGCAATAGTATCTTAGAACATGAAATTGAAAATTTATATAATATATATATTTATATAATACATAATTTTTATATAGAATAGAAATAAATAACTAATGAGAAAATTGCATTTTTATTATTTGACTGATTTAAAATAGGCATTTAGTTAAACGTCTAGGCAATTTATTAAATTACAAGGCATTTAACTAAATGTCTAGGCGGATAGTAAAATCTTTTACAAAATAAATTATTTGCCTAGGCATTTAGCAAAATCCCTGATTTGACTATATGGCTATGACATTTATTGCTTAATACATGATTATGATATTGAATATTTATAAAATATAGTACTAGTCTAGAAAGTATTCTTGAGCCACTTATATTTCTCATATTTTCAATGTTCTAATCGAGACATTTTTATAAAATGTATATACTGCATTTATAAATCATACATTTAAAACAAAAATAATAAATACAAAATGTAGGTGGTCAAAATAATAATAGATAAATTATGTATGAACAAATAAAAAGTAAAAAATATAGTAATAAATATATAAATAAAAAGTGTATATATAAAAATAAAATAAATAAATCAATCAATGCATCACCTGGAGTATTAGGATAAGTGCATTCCTATAATACACTGCTAAATCCTCCAGTATTTCGTTAAATGTATAATTTATTTTGCCACAGAAACTCTTCCAAATAGAATCATGGGAGTTAAGGAAGTATGATAAATGCAGTATACACGTTTTATTACAAAGGGTATAACATTAAACATACGAGAAATACGTTGCGGAAGTCAACTAGACCAGTAGGTACCTAAAATATTACTTGTAGAAATAATTATTTAATTTAATTTAAATACAAGTAATTATAATTAATTACTCACCTTTACTTAAATTCTGCTCACTTTTAAAGAAACAATATTGTCGGTTGTAGAACTAGTATAAAAAGTTTTAATTACAGGATTGCAGGCAGGGTGGTTACAGTTTCTGGGTATTCTTTTTTCGCCTAAAATAATTAATACCCCTTAAAGGACAACTTTGTTTTGTTTTAATCTATTCAAAAATATATATTAACATTATTATTCTGTTGATAATTTTTGATGAAACGACATGTTTTAGTAACAGTTTTCTACCTCTTTCCCATACAAAACTCGAAACGTCAAAATGTAATGAACAAACTAAACTTGTTGATACTTTTTTTGGGACTACGTCATTTCCAGCAAACAATTTTATCATTTATTCTTATATGTATCTTTAAAAGGGAACCTTCAATAAACATTCAAAGTTTCTATAATCATTGACTTCTAAACAAAATTTAAAAAAATTAAAATAAAGACTTAGTATCATAAAATAACATACCTACATATGAAATGTTATATTGGCTAATTTAGTTTTGGTATTGTTCGTTGAGCATTTTTAGTTATAAAAAGAAAACGACAAAAAACTATAAAATATAACTCGAGTTACGAAATATACATGGATCACAAAGTAAAGAGTAAACAATAGTCACGAGCATACACTTGTAATATATTAAAAGTCTATTGTCACGAGGCCGTCGGGTACAGTACTCCAGATTTTGATAACAACTGATAAAAGTTTCGGGATGTCGGTTACACTAATCTTAGAAACATACAATTAATTATCAGAGATAACAAAAAACTACAGTAGGTTTCACGAAACTAGGGACTCCGCAGTGGCGCTTCTGGTGACGAAATTTCGGTGTTCCACGGTTTTTCAAACTTGCACACAATACGCGGCAATTTGAAATACTGCGCGGTTTTGTTAAAAAATGTATTATTTTAGATCCTTTTTTCACTGATACAACTAATTATATTGAATCTCTTGAAGCATATTTTATGTATTAATAAAAACAAAAATACTACTTTTATTTGTGGTGATGTTAATATTAATTTATTTAATAATAATGATCATGTCAGGTGATTCGCTTTACCATTTATTGTACAATTATTTTTGTACTATTATGACTGGCAATCATACACCTTTTGCGTTTTACTTTCTTATGTAGCTAAGATATATAAAGGTGGTTACACCATTGAACTATAAAATAGTTTTAGTTATTTTCTTGTCTTTTGCTTGTCAATCACACAGATACAATCTTTTTGTACAAGCATGCATACTTATTTTTCTTTGTCACCACAGGGCGTGCATGCTTGAAAAGTAAAATCAGTTTCAAACATTTTGAATATCAAACATGTCAAGTTAGGAAGATGACATGTCGCTCGCTGTAACAACGTAGTCTCTATAATCGCGTAGATGAAAATTTAATCAATCTTCTTTTCGCTTGTACAATCACAATGTTTGCACAAAATATTATCATACATGTTTTATATTTAATTATCTTTTAAGATGATGTGACACATTATACAACATATTTAATAACTTATATATTAACATAACATATTTAATAACTTATGTGATGTCTCGTGCTTATCACAATCTTATGGTAATCTTATCATAGTCTTATCATTACAACAATACAAAGCAGCGTATCCAGACCATGAATATGGAGGGAGGGGCCGAAATAATTACATTTACTATTAATGGTCAATAAGAAAAACAGACTGACCTACTTCATACGATGGGTGGACGTGAACCACTGTTAAAGATGAGTAGTTGGTAAGGTAGGATATTGAAGGAATTTAAATGTATATCTGTACCTAAGCATATTTAAGCATTGCCAATTCTCTAGTACTCTCTAAATAATACTATAATAGATTAATTTATTTTTCTATTCTATGATAGGTCTGTAAGTTGCTGATGCTGACATACCTATCTATCTACCTATCTACATATCTGTTCAATCAATATGTCATGTTTAATATTTGAATTGTTTGATCAAACCATAAATTGAAATAAGCAAAAGTATTCATCATTTTTAATGTAGATATTTGTGACTACGATAAAAGCAATGGTGTTTGGGAAAAAAGACCGTACCAACCATACCGTAAGTTGACATTGTGTTCAAATAAATTTTTCATAATTTCTGTTTTGTTAGAATTGTCAAATATTTTATAGAATTTAAAAAAGTTCATTTTATTAGTATATTATTTATCATATTATGCCCTTCTCCAGCAGATATGATTTTTGTTAAATTTCTGATATTCTTATTATATTAAATATGTACTAAATTTTAGTGTACAAACCTCGTATGTGTTTTTATGTTAATAAATAATTAGAATCGAAGAAAAAATTGAAATACCTAAAACTGAACTGATTGAAATAAAACAAGAATTAGATTTAATTGATGGCTGTAGTTATGACACTGAGATTACTATTGAAAGAAATCATAAAGAATACATTTTATATAAAGAATACAACAAAACTCAACCCGAGCAGTAAGTATTTTTAAATTAGGTTTTTTTTTATAATTTAAATTAAAAAAAAAAAAAATTAATCTGCTATTGTTCCTTATTAAAATATTCATCAAAGTTTAACCAACATCAATCCAAAGAAGATCTACAAAAATTATATGAGGTAGTAAACAATTATTAGCAGGTCAACCACTATAAAAAAAAAAATGTCCAGTAAAAAAAAAAAGAAAATTTACGATTGAATAGAAATTTAATCCAAATAAATTACAAATTTCATGCACCCTTTAACATTTTAAGGGTATATTTATACTTTTTACACAGTTTGTTTATTATTTGTGTGTACATAGTACATTTTCATTTTCATTCCTTAATTTCAAAAAAAAAAAAAAAAAAAAAATGATAACTAGGTATTCACTTAACAAAATGTTCATAATAGCTTTTTTTTAAATATATTATTCCAACAATATCAATTTATCCTACATCCATATCTGAATAGTTTCTTAGTAACAGTCTGTTTAATTTCTAGAGAAAAAAGATAAAAACCGAGTTTTGATTTATTGTGTTAAGTTTCTTATTTTTATTATATTTGACTTTTTAAATTATACAAATAAACCAATAATACTCATTATTAAATTATATTAGTTTTTTATGTGTAAAACAATTAATTGCATTAACATGTTTTAGATTCTGAAGGCATCAAGGAATATATAGTTTCACTAAAATGTGTGTTTTTTATTTTGTTATTATATTCTATATTTCTTTAAGCAAAATAAATTGATGTAACACAATGTAAACATTAAGGCAGGCTGTAAAAACAAAATGTAGTGATTTATACATTAAGACAGATTGTGAGAACAAAAATTACCATTACGGTATAAATATTTTAACCCGTCACTCAACTCACATATTATATATTAATATATTAATACACATAAATGTTAACAACTAATCAATGACGGTTTAGAATAATAATTAATAGGAAACAAATATTTTTGAAATTCATCTAATTATTCATATTTATTAGTTTTGTATATAGTGTATTGAATAATGTAGTATTTATTTAATTTTTAATCCATAGTTTATCCTAAAATAATTATATATCACATTTCATATTATATTTAATATGTATTACATTAGGTAAGTACTAAAATATCAAAATTACATTAGATACAAATAAAAATGAACTAAATTTTAATGTTGAAATTTTGACATGAGCACATTTACATTATTTTGGATGTAGCAATCATAATCGTGTAATAGAAATTATTAACTGATTATGAAATTTTAATCTCATGGGAACTGGAGCTAATTGGAGAAATGAATTGATATAGGTTTTTTAACAATGTAGGCTGTATTTATATCAAACAATACTTACAATACATATTGTCTATTCATGTGATCTATTTCAATGATGCTCAATGTCATGACAAAGATCATTGGTCTAAGAAGATTTTTTAAAACTATATACTACTTTATAGAATCTATTTGTTTTCATTATTTTTTTAAAAATGTACTTATATTACATTGTCATTTCGTTTGTAATCTAAACATTTTCTCACAGAAATCTTGTTCCAATTATTTATTATTCTAATTAATTATGTACATATTCATATACACAACATTACAATGTATTGTTATGTACAATATATAAATATATGTATTTTTGTGTTTTAATTTAATACAATTTGTACATATAGTATTAATTAGTATTATTAAAGATTTTTAGTCATTGCAATAAAGACTATACAATAATAATAATAAAATAAATAAATAAAAATAATTGGAGTTAATTAATTTGATTTATTTATTTTAACAGAACCATCAAATTAAATTATGCAACTACAAGAGATTATTATTGAAACCATAAAGACTAGGAGAGTCATAGACTTGACAATAAATGGACTGTGCTTAGAGAGAGAAAACATGTATCCAACATAAGATGTGAACATAGTATTTAAAATAAAAAAAAATTAAATGAAATTTATTCAACAATTATGTGCATTTTATTGATCTAAAACTATCATTATTTAAATATTTTACATTTCATATTTTTCATTTACATATTTATATGTAATAAATTTATTAATAATATCACTTTCTCACATCTCTAATTTAGCTATCACAAAGTCTACTTTTCCTAAGAGTTTTAAAATGTATGTAATAGCTACTAAATATAAAAGGGTGACAAATTCAACATAGAAAATTACCGCCCCATTTACAACTACAGTTAAAAAAACAGTTTCAACCATACACATATTTTCTCTTTTTTTTTTAAAAAAAAAACAACAAATTATAAAAATCATAGTTTAACCACGTATCTATGCATTTAATTAATAAAAAAAATCAGTTTTTTTTTTTTAAATTAGATTTCATTCTTAAGTATGTACCTAAACATTTATCAGCAAACAAAGATAAACTGATATAATTAATGGAACATAACCTTGTTTATGTATTACATACTATTTGAATTTTAATAGTTCCTAACTATTTAAGATTCTAAAAAAAATATCAAAATTAACTAATTCCGACTAATCAAAGATAGGTTTTGTACCTATTTCTATTAATGAAATAATTTGATCTTGAATTTTATGACTGAGATACTTTACGCTTCCATTTGGTTTTTCTAAAAGTGTTGCTAATATGGGATCATATTTAGCCAAAAATTTAATTATAGCCATACAATTTCCAAGATTATTTGTATTGGAATCTTCCCTATGACCTCAAAAGGACAAATGTTGACAACCAAGTGTTATAGATACATCTATTACTCTCGTTAAAATTGCTGTCCAATATTCAGCTTCAGAATCTATTTGCTTCTTTGTTTGATTGTCTATACCTAAATTCCTTGAATACACATTATAAGCTTTACATGACTCGATGAAATGTAGAACTTTCATGACGATTAATTGCAATTGTTATATGATCCCAGTCATCATAACTATCAAGCCACGTAGTTTGTTTAATTTTAATTCTATTACCAAACAGAGAACATGGTTGGCAATATGCAACTTGACGAATTATTGAATAACATAGCCATAATCTATTAGTTTTTGCTCCTGTAATTGACTCAACAGAATAATAATATTTTTCGTGAAATGTTGTTCGTGAATTTTTATTTTTTGATACATCTGAATGTCTATAAAATGGTCCTTTAGGTTGGCATGGTCCAAGAGTAACAATAAACTTTTTCTGCGAGTCAGATAATTTATTATCATAATTAAAATGACCGATATCAGTGGGATTGGGAAGTGTTAGAAGCTTAGTAAATATATCAATATTTGGAACATTATTCGCTAGTGATGAAATAGAGGTATTGGGTATTTCTTGAGAAATAGTGTTAACCAGTGTACTCGAAAGATTAGCATTAGATGTTACATTTTGAGAAATATGTTCGATTTTGACTGGAGAGGATAGCGAAAGACATGGATGTGTTTCTTGTAAATTTTCGTTTACATTAGGATTTGAATAAGAAATTTCTACGGATACTTTCTTAAAAAATTTTGAAACTGATGGTAATAATTTAGTCTTACGATCTTCCTCTGCTTTATGTTTCCTCTTACTCGCTCCACTCTCAAATCTTTTTTTAACTGGATTCATTTTTAGGTATTATTAGTTATTAAATATTGTTTTATTATATAACACATTATTATTAAAGTTATAATAGGTATACCTATAAATTAAATGTATAAGTATAACTTGATTTTTATTCTTATATAATTAATATTAAATTATTATATCATGATTAAAACACAATTTAAATAATACTTAATAAGACAAATATAAACGCCAATGACGATTAAAACAACGATATCAAAAATAAACGGTAATATTTTAATTAGTTCATATTATGCATAATATGTGAAATAACTTGGACGATGGGGAGTGCATTTATCAATTATGCATATTTATATCTTTTAATTTTATAATATTAACGAAAAGCTAAACATAATATAGAGTAAATTACAATAACGTACAAGTTTGAAAACTGTAAGTTAAAATATTTAATAGGTATTAATCATATTAGGTATATAAAATATTAATAAAAAAAAACTATAATACTACTTACCTAAATGTTGTCAAATTAGCGTTCTCCAATAGTGAAAAAATTTAATACAAAGAAAAATGATTATACTGTGAAGTAATAAATAATAATCAGTGTAGCAAACGGAAAAACAGTAAAATAAAATTATCGTCATAATGAGTAGGCATGCATGTGGCACATAATATTATGACATATTATCATTGATATAGGTACTATACTACTATAGCATCGACGCGGTCATCGGAAATATATTTTATAAATAACATTTGAACCGGAAAAAAGTACTAGTATTAGTACATATTCTATTATCGAAATATTAAATTACAAATATTAATGTATTATTATATTTACATAGGTATTAATATTGTATTTTCTATTTTTATTTTGTTATATAATTTACAGTAAGTTATAAAATAAAGGGTATACCTAAATAATATATTTTATTTTTATACTATAAATTTTATAATTTCAATAATAACCATTCAGTGCAAAAGCAATATTATCTTTATACAAATATTCGGCGAGGCCCTTTCACCGACGAGGCCCGTGGAAAATCCCACCTTTGTATATATGTAGTTCCGCCACTGGTAGGATGCATAAGGTTATTTCATTTATATCTGTAAGCAACGATTAACTATTGCTTGACAAAAGACGATTCCGAGCGCAGCTCAGTAATATATAATTTTTGCGATTATCTTATAAATTTGATTTCAAAATGATTATTAAAATAAAAAAAATTATCCGATCATTTTGGACACTTTACCACGTATAAGTAAGTCCAATATTAATATTATTATCAAGTTTCAAATCTACGTATATTTAAAACAGAATTACAGCAAAAATCTCCCAAAAATCACAATTTCTTAAAAGCTCAAAAGTTTTGGCCATGATACCGTAAGAAATTAAATAAATAAGGTATCTTGAGATTGAATAATTTTTTCTTGTAGAAAACGTCCGTGTTTATATAAAATAATGAAATCGTGAAATTGTACGTTTTCCTAGTGGTTTTTCCTATTTAAGTGCTCTAATTCAAAAAATATATCGCATCGCCTTAAACTTGGCCGATTGAAACCAGACCAATACCATTATTTAGTAAGGAATTTGTAATTATTTGTAAACTTTGTTTTCGACTTTGTAACTCCTTTAAAAACAGCTAGAATAGTGTCCTGAATAGCAAAAATGTATTTTATTAAAATTCCCTTTCGGCAATTTTTTTTTTTTTAGAGTTAGCGTCCACTGACGAATAGTATCTTTCCTGTGAATGAGTAAACCCATATCCGACACTTTATTGCCCAACTTTAATGTTCAATTCCTTAAATATTTTTAAATTATATTATGATTAAAAATTATGGGCTTATATACTATTATTTTATAATCAATTTGTATATAGGATCAAATAAATAATATTATATTCGACGTATTTCAACAGTATTGGTAATAATAATAATAATAATAATAATAATAATAATAATAATAATAATAATAATAATAATAATAATAATAATAATATATTATGAATGTTAGTTTAAAATTTCGATTATAATATTAAATATACTGACAATATTTTTAAAAAATAATTATTTGATATTACATTAAATGATACAATTTATTTCATAGTATCCTAATGTGATAAATTATATTTTCGAAAGGAGATAGTGTATAAGATAATTAATTAATACAATTTTTCCCTTTAAATTAATGCCTTTTATTCTCATATCATAGTATATTATAATAACATTTATTTAATTTGTGTGTAACAAAATATTCACTACTCTATTATCGTTTACTAATGTCATTTTATTTTTCATAATCATAATGTTTCTCGGAGCCGTTGGATCTTTCTGCATACCAAGAGTAGTGTCCTGATTTAACGTATGTGATATTTGTGATATATATATATATATATATTATGCGACGCGAATGGTTTTTGTTATCGCATTTGGGTAATCGTTCAACCTAACCGGTCGACTATCGCAGTAGTTAGCTGGCCAGTGTTCGTTCTGTGGCTGTAGCGCGAACTACTTTCTATGTCACAATGTATTTTGATCTGATGTAATTATATTCAAATATATCTACAAATCTTACATTGGCGACGAAGATAAAAAAAAATGGCATCGTATCTGGGAAGCCTAGTGCAGTTTAATGTAAATGTTGATACGTGGCAGATCTACCAGAAACAGTTGGACCAATTTTTGGAGGTGAATAAAATCAAGAATGATTTTAAGAAATCAGCCTTATTAAGCAGCATTGGTCAGGACGCTTACAAACTGTTACGTGATTTGTGTACGCCACAATTACCCAAAGAAAAAACTTTCGAGGAATTGTGTAGCTTGATGGAAAACCATTTTACTCCGAAAATAAACATTTTCCGGGAGCGAAATAATTTTTATGAGGCTAGTCAACAAGATAGCGAATCAGTGGCCGATTTCACGGTAAGACTGAGGAATTTATCAACAAAGTGCAGTTTTGGCGCCAATCTCGAAGGTATTTTAATCGATAAATTTGTTTTCGGTTTAAAATCGGGGAAGATTAAGGACAGAATCTGCGAGGAAAAACCCACTGTAGAAACAACTTTTTCTCAAATTGTCGAAGTCACACTTGCGAAAGAATCGTACTTATCTAATGAGGCAGGTCAAGTTAACTGGATCAAGAACAAACAAGGACAACAATTTCGGCAAAATTTCCACGCGACGGGGGCGGAATACAAGAATTCCGGTTCGAGGCACGCGGATTGTAGAGATCGTGTTTCAAAGGATACAAGGGACCAAGGAGCGCAGAAACAGATCCATGGTCAATCCAAGGGAAGCAGAATTAATTCCAAGGTCGAGAGTCGGAGAATCAACAGTGCACCAGAGAACAATCAATGTCGAGTTTGCGGTAAGCGGCACACGGGGTTTCAGAATTGTAAATATAAAAATTATCGATGTAATCTTTGTGGTGTTATAGGACATTTAATTTTAATGTGCAATAAATCAAAAAGTACAAATTTTTTGAATGTGGCGGTAGATGATGTTATTCATGAGAGTTTAATTTTGAATATAGAAACAAACGAGTTAAAACCTATTATTTTANATTGTAAATATAAAAATTATCGATGTAATCTTTGTGGTGTTATAGGACATTTAGCTTTAATGTGCAATAAATCAAAAAGTACAAATTTTTTGAATGTGGCGGTAGATGATGTTATTCATGAGAGTTTAAATTTGAATATGGAAACGAACGAGTTGAAACCTATTATTTTAGATGTAAAAGTGAATGGTATTATGGTAAAGTCACAACTAGATTCGGGTTCAGGTTTAACAGTGATTTCGGAAAAAACTTTCTACGAACTGTTCAATAAAAATTCTATTTTAAGGAAGGTTTTTAAGAGTGTTAACGGTTACACTGGTAAAAAATTAATGTTTTGGGTTTCTTTCTCGCGGAGATTGTTTTCAATGGCAAGACTTACGAATCTTTCAGCATTTTTGTAGTTGAGAAAGGAGGTCCAAATTTGTTAGGCAGGGATTTCATGGATAAATCTAACATAAAATTAACTAAAATCAATATGTTAGATCATACCGAACCTAAATTAGAACAATTAAAAATTAAATATTCAAATTTATTTAGTGACGGAATGAGTAGATATGTGCATAAAAAATTTAAAATCAAGTTGAAGGACAATGCTACGATATTTTACAAACCAAGACAAATTCCTTTCGCATTTAAGGGCCAGATGGAAGAGCAGCTGTATAGGTTAGAGAAATTGGGTGTAATTTCCCAGGTCGAGTCAAACGAATGGGGGAGTCCATTAGTACCGATTCTAAAGGGCGATGGTAGAATTAGAATATGCGCGGATTATAAAGTTACAATAAACAAGTTTGCTCAAGAGGTAAAATATCCATTACCGAGAATCGAAGAAATATTTCAAAAAGTGAGCAAGGGAAAACAGTTTAGTAAAATAGATCTGAGTGAAGCATACAACCAGTTAGAGTTAGACGACGAGTCTTCAAACATTTTAACATGGAGCACTCATAAAGGACTTTTTCAAGTACATAGATTCCCATATGATGTTGCTCCTGCCAGTGCAATTTTTCAAAAGTTAGTAGAGTAACTTTTCCAAGGTTATGATTGTATAGCAAATTTTTTGGATGACATTATAATAACCGGACAAGACAGGGTAGAACATCTGAATAATCTGGACAAAGTATTTAACATTTTAAATGAGGCGGGTTTANACAACCAGTTAGAGTTAGACCATGAGTTTTCAAAAATTTTAACATGGAGCACTCATAAAGGACTTTTTCAAGTACATAGATTGCCATATGGTGTTGCTCCTGCCAGTGTAATTTTTCAAAAGTTAGTAGTGCAACTTTTCCAAGATTATGATTGTATAGCAAATTGTTTGGATGACATTATAATAACCAGACAAGACAGGGTAGAACATTTGAATAATCTGGACAAAGTATTTAACGTTTTAAATGAGGCGGGTTTAAAAGTTAAATTGTCTAAATGTGAATTTTTTAAAAGTGAAATTGAGTATTTAGGTCATATCATTTCGGCGGTGGGTTTGCGTAAATGCGAAAATAAAGTTAGAGCGATCGCAGACGCGCCAACACCGCGCAACACAACGCAAGTTAAATCTTTCGCGGGTATGGTAAATTATTATTCTAAATTCTTACCGAACGTTTCGATTATTATGAAACTTANAAATATTCCAACTATAACATCTGCGAGATTTCAGAGGTGGGCAATTTTTTTGGCTGGATTTCAATATAAACTCGAGTATATTAAAGGGAACGATAATTTCACGTCGGATTTACTTTCGAGATTACCAATTAAGGGAGACGTCGTTGCGGTCGATAGCGAATCGCAAAGTACGTTTATGACATTTATAGAATCCGAATATTTTCCGATAAATCGTAACACAATTAAATTACAAACTAACAGAGATAAGATTATCAGTAAAGTTTATTATTATGTGACTCGTGGGTGGCCAAAATCGATTAATGGTGATTTAAAACCATACAAGGACAGACATACCGATTTATCGGTTGAGAAAGGTTGTTTAATGTTAGGTTACAGAGTCGTAATACCGAGTAAATCGCGTAAACAGATTTTAGACGAGTTGCATTGTACGCAATTGGGCGTTGTCAAAATGAAGGCAGTCGCGAGATCGTATGTTTGGTGGCCCAAGATTGATCTTCAGATAGAAAATTTAGTTAAATCGTGTGATTTTTGTATGCAGCTAAGACAAAACCCTAGGAAGTCTGAGTTAATACCTTGGAATNGACCGAGTGGTGTTTGGCAGAGAGTTCATATAGACTTTTTCGGGCCATTCCATAATAGTTACTTTTTGGTAGTTTTAGACGCGTTCTCAAAGTGGTTAGAGGTGAAAGAGATGAGAAATATTACGGCGAGCAATACTATTATCGAATTACGTGAGATATTTAGTAGATGGGGGTTACCTTTAATATTAGTGTCGGATAACAGCGCTCAATTAACGCAATTTATATTAAAATAANCTTTTTGGTAGTTTTAGACGCGTTCTCAAAGTGGTTAGAGGTGAAAGAGATGAGAAGTATTACGGCGAGCAATACTATTATCGAATTACGCGAGATATTTAGTAGATGGGGGTTACCTTTAACATTAGTGTCGGATAACGGCGCTCAATTAACGTCACACGAATTTACTACGTTTTTAAAAAGTAATGGCATAGTACATTTGCGTACAGCCCCGGGACACCTTGCTACAAACGGTGCGGCTGAAAATGCAGTGAAAGCTACCAAACGCGCATTATCGGCAGCATTAGCAGATAAAAAAAATAAAAATTCGCTTAAGTTAGTTATATTAAACAAATTTTTTTTAAGTTATAGAATTGCGCCACATTCTACTACGGGTGAATCGCCGTCATTTTTAATGTTGGGCAGGAAACTACGTTGTAGGCTAGATTTACTTTACAAAACGGATCAGGAAGTGGTGTGTGAGAAACAAAATAGGGCGATAAAAAATTATAATGGTAGTAAAGAAAAAGTTTTTAATGTAGGTGATGAGGTAATAATTAAGTGTTACAAACCTGGGAATAAGGAATCTTGGATAAGAGCAACAGTTAATATGGTCTTAGGTAATAAGAGTTACGAGTGTGAATCCAGCGAAGGTATTACGTACATTAAGCACGTGGACCAGATGGTAAATGTTACACCAGTGGGTACGGAATCACATTTTCAGGAGAATAATACCGTGAGAAGTGCTGGTATAAATAATGATAATTTTAAAGAAGCGAGGACCAAAAAAGTCCCAAGTAAGTTAAAAGATTTTGTTTTAAATGTAAACTAATATTTCCATCTGTGTATATTTGTAGTTACATCATTGTTTTTTGTAACGGAATATTGTATATTTTATTTTGTTTTTTTTTATTTGCTTAAACATTAATTTAAAAATTTAAAATTGTATTATTTTGTTTTTTTTTCTTTTAAATAATGTTTAGTCTTAATGGGGAGGTGTGATATTTGTGATTTATATATATGCGACGCGAACGGTNTCTGTGGCTGTAGCGCGAACTACCTTCTATGTCAGAATGTATAATTTTTCCACATAAGATTTAGTGTTAATTTGTATTTTGATTTGATGTAATTTATATTAAAATAAATCTACAAATCTTACAATATTTATAAGCAAATAAAAAGTTATTGATATAATAAATAAAAGGGGCATTCGTTATTTTAGAGAGAAATACATAATTCTTTGGTATCGTCATTATTCTCGAACTCATGACTCAATAACCCTCCGAACATTCAAATACCAGATTTAATATAGGTATCAAAGTAAAACACCCCGTTTATCTTATATTATATTATTATTCTCCCCCCCCTTTTTTGAATTACTACATTTGTAACTAATATTTAATTTCACAGAATTATAAAAAAAAATTAATAAACAATTTGTTTTTATAATATGACTGAAGTTCATCTTTAGAAATAGTAAAAGCATCATTATTTTTTTTACACGTAATCATAGGAGTTTAAAGTGTACGGTCACCAATCACCACACCCCACCGTAATTACGCCACTGTATTTCCGCATTTATACGTATTTTTAATAGTTATAGTGCTTGAATTAAACTATCAAACTATAGTTTGGTGGCAGGAGGTCCCTCTAGTCTGAAGTTAGTTTGTATCTTGTGCAACACAAATTTTACAGTCAAGCAAAGGATGCTACAAAGATGATAATATGGTAACTCATATCTCTAAACCTGAAAGTATTATACAACAATCAAAATAACTTAACGAAACTTCATTATATTAGATGGTAATGGCTAAGATATTCATAAAACTACCTTCAATGTATTGCTATTTTTACAGTGCTTGGTATTCCACTTCATCGAAGAAACGTATGATGGATAATCTTACTTTAAAACCACTCACAGAAGAAGCAAAAATCAAAATCAACGCTAAGTACACAAGAAGATAATATTTCAAGTGCTTTAATGACAAATCATTCAAAATGGAACAAAAAAAGTGATGGTAGTAAAGATAAAAGTTAGAAACAACCAGGTAAAATATTATTACAACAATAAAGGTAATCATTGGAAAAATGATTATTATTTATATATATATATATATATATATATATAAGGACAATAATAAGAAACAATCAAATGTACTAAAAGGAAGTGCATTCGAACCCAGATTAAGAATAGGGCTGAGAGAGCTGTAGCCAAGGGCCCCCCAACAAATGGGGCCCCAGACAAATATTGAAATTCTAATTTTAGATTCTGAGTGGAGCGAAGAAGCTTTAGTTTTACAAAGATTTTTTTTTTCTGTGAACAACTTTTCTACCAAAAATCTTGCTCCAATTTAAAAATGTAGCAACTTTTCTAAAAGGAAATCGGACTGGGGAGAAACCTTAAGGTTTTTTCCAGGAGTTCAAATGGGAAAAACGGAGGAAAAACTGGAAGAACGGGAAAATAGGAACAATATTACACAAATATTATTAAAGACAGATTTTAATATATATGCAATTATTTTACCATAATATCTATATATATATATATATATATTGTTGACAAAGGAAAGCTTTTAACTGAACTCCGCTCAGAATTGTTTATTTGTTAGCAATGGTTTAAACATTTTAGTCATCACATAGAGTCAACTTTTCAAATAAAATCAATTATAAACACAAATTGTATTTATTAAGTACAAATAAATTAGTAATGATTAGTTATTCATTATAAATTAAATAAATATACAAGTACCAATTTATCCTAACTTCCCTACTTCTCATCTACAATAGTGTCGCAGGCATAAGCAATATCTATCAGCTCTTTTTATATTCTAAGCGTAGCGAAGAATGTATTAGTTCTATAAAGATGTTTATTTTTCTGTGTACACAAATTATACTGAAAAACATGCTCTGATGTATACGATGTAGACCCTTTTCTGAGAGGAAATTTTTTCGGGGTGGTACTTTAGACAGATCATTTTTTGATTTTCTCAGGAGTTTCCTAATAAATGGAAAAAACAGAGGAAAAACGGGAAAATAGGTAAAATGCCTATTAAATAAATATTATTAAAGAAAATATATAATGCCTATTTAATTATTTAGTATTTTATGATAATATCATATATATGTATACTGTTGACAAAGAATCACTATCAACTGAACTCCACTCAGAATCGTTTTTTCGTTATCAATGTTTTATCGTTGCATACAGATATATATTAAATTCCCTTTTGTATCCTACCTTTCAAATTTTCCGCCAACAACAGTGGCTGCACCCATGTGGTCACGTGCAAAGTTTCCTGTATTTTTTTTTTCAATTCAATATCTTTTCTTGTTATTAAATTATTTTGTAATCTATTACTGCACTTTATTTTGTATTTTGACTTATTTGGACTATATCCGTAACTAAATTAAACACAAACAACATATTTAACCATATGAAATCCTTTAAACCTGTACTTGTAGCCTAATACTCAGTTTCTGTATAATATGTTAACGAAACTGACACTTAATTTTGTAAATGTATCAGTTTTCATTTTTAGAAAAGTTGTTTACAGACAGAAAAAAATAGGTGGGAAGTTGGGTATGTAGAATATGTAAAATAATTATTTAATTTATGCCTGTAAGCAACAATAGGTAACAAAAAACGATTCGAAGCGAAGTTTGGCTATAGATGTTTTGAAAGGCCGTATTATTTACGATTTTCGTCAAAATTTGATTTTAACTCTTATTAAAAAAAAAACAATACTCACATTATGCTCGAATTTTTTAACACTGAATACGAATTATAATAAACCTTCTGTCAAATTTCCATGACTAAAATATAAAATAAAAATTACATACAAAACTCGCAAAATTAAAAATTTCTATAAATAGCTCAAAATGGTTTGAGTCGAATTGATCAATAGACAGATTCTCTAGATAATAACCTATCGAAATAGTATTATCAAGTTTCAAAAATTAACTAAAATTATACATGTTATTATTTTATATTAATTACCTACAATACATTAGTAATTATTATTATTTGTTTAAACAGAAATTTCAAAAACTTCACAAATTATTATTTACAAGACGATATTCATGAGTCAAGTCCAATTATGAAGTCCATGTCGTCAAAGGTTGCATATCCCACGGTATTATAATATGTGCCTTAATATATTTAAATCGTATAAAAATAAAATAAAACGAGGAAAATAGATGACCCAAAAACGTAAATAATTAACTTACTCAGCAATAACCGCCAATATAAATTATCAAAAATTTAAAAATATAAATTTTAATTGCACAATAATATACTATTCAAAATACGAATTTTACTCAACGTGGATGGACACGACTTTACAATTAATTTTTAAACATATACTGAAAAAGCTAATATGACTAATGTCAGTAAACATTAAGATAAAATTCATGTAGACATACAATTTTGAAACAATCTAAAAATAATAATTTTTCTTAATGACAGTATTTACAGTCGACATGACATCTTCTTCCGGCTGGTATATCGCATTGACATCCCGCTGTAGTATCTCCTTTTCCCTATAATAAAACAAATTACTTTAATACATAATACGAAATAATTGATAAGTTTTCCTAATGACCATGCAATAAAGTGATAAAAATCACTATTTTGAATCATCTGAGAAATTTACGTTTTAAATTTTTAATATCACCATCACTAAATTATGTTCCTATTTTATTATAATATTTATCACGGTATTTTGTTTTCATTTCTATAGCACCAAAACGTGCCACGATCGTCGGGTGATGTCAAAATGGTGAAAATTCCATCGCATGTCAATTTTTTTAGGAAACTTAACAAAGATAATATTTTCTTGAAAACAACCATAATTTTTTCGATTACTTTTAGAAATCATATTACCAAAAACACCAGTAACGGTTTTGTTATACTACTCACAGCAACAATTACCTATAGTTTAGTTGGCTGCAGCTAGTACAAATATAATATTAAATCCAAATATGCGGTTTTACTTGAATAAATTGTCTAAATATAATACATTTTCAAGCTCAAGAATGTATGTGAATTACCTATAATAGGTACCCTAGCTGGTTAGTTTTAAATAATCATAATTATGTTCATCGGTGAACTTTCTAATATTAAGTCTCGTATGCAGTTTTCACAGAATAGGGTCGTAGTAAGTAAGTCTATAAATGTAAAATTATTTTTTTCAAACTCACATTAGGTCCCCATCTTGGGCCCTTGGTAGCCCAGCAAATTTCCATAAAGCACACTGCACACTTGATCCAATCGCAACCCTGTTGCTTTGATAAAATTGTGTTACACCCCGGACACGGCATAGCGTCTCCGCGCTCAATTAAATTCTTATATAAGTAAAACAAAACTATTATTATTATTATTATTACTATTGTGATATAATAAACTATCAACAGACGTAATTCTATCTCAAACTGTGCAAATATGGCACTGCTCACTCGCCGTCTTTGATTAGTTTATAATTGTCTGTAGTATTTTGAAATAAAGCTATTATACTAAAGCATAATTTGATAATACGATTTAACTCACAGTATTAGGAATACGTAATTATAAACCAATAAGAAACGATGAAAGACCAGTGCCATAATGATCTATGAAGTGATGGGTGACGTAAAAGGGGTGTATGCGTATCATTTATATGTACATCATTTATTATTTCATAATTACTATTAAACCTGAACATAAATAAATGCAATAATAAAACGATAACAATTAAATTCATATTATATAATTTTACCTCGACCGTATAGTTCAACATGCCTTTGCCATCGTCGTCGTTGTCGTTATTTTCTCTAAATATTTTGCATTTTCTTCCATATTTGTGAATGGACTGAAAATAATAAAACATAGTTAAAAACTGGTAAGCTATATTGGTTTTTTTTTTAGCACAAAATATAATATACCTACGTACATAATAAACGGAAAATTGGCTAACTTCTTAATTATAGTAAAATTATCCGCCTGTTTTTCAATTTAAATGTTTGAAGTCTGGAGAGATGCTTTAGTAGTTGTATTGTCAATGATTGATATATGTATAATGTATATATTATTAAAAATATTATTACTAAATTAACAAGGTATCCAAACATTTCAAACAATTCGTTAGAAGAAAAAGAACATGAAACTATAACAAGTTTATGATACACGATATTATTAATATTGGTAATTAGTATAGGTATGCATGTACTATGTAGTATGCATAACATTCACATGATATTCATTCTGTAATAAGACATTTTCTTTCCCTACAACCAAAGTTAATTAAGCGTAATTAAACTTGTGACGTTCAAGATATAGGTATGCTAGTTTAATTAGTATTTATTTTGATAATGAAATATCAAAAAACATAAAATATATTTACTGATTATTAACCAAACTGTTTTGCTTTGTTTTTAGTTTTCATCAAGCAGGCATATGTGTAGACATTTTTTGGCGGAGGGATTAACATATATTTTTCACGAACAAATATATTGTGTGTAGGAGAAAGAAATGTCGGCAGTCTTAACGTCACACCGTAGAAATTTGTTTGAGTTTAGTTATAATGAAACATCCCTCAATTGTTGGTAAATATTTAGTTTTTCCCACTTAAATCACTGATTATAATATTATAATATATATATAATTATTATAATATTTATAATATATATATTCATTCATACGATACCACAAGTGCAACCAGTGTCGTAGCTAGGATTAATCAATAGGGATTTAAAGGGTTCTAGGAGGGTTTAGAGATCTACAACCTAACTTAACTGGTTTTTTCTCACCACCGATTACTATAAGTCTATGGTCTATATATTATAGATGCACAAATAGAATATAACATAATAATACTCACCCCACACTTAACGCAAGTGACTGTCCCGCAAACAGGACATTTAAATTCAAAAACGTTGTTTTTGTCGTAGATCAAACACCAGCCAGTACAGTCGGGTCGTCTGCATTGGAACGATCCACCATCGCGGTCTTTCGCCAACAACTGTCGTGCGCGATCCACAGACCTTTGCAAAAATCGTTCGTATTCTTCGTCAGAATCTAATATCTGTAGACGATAAGACCAATAAAAAAAAAAATAAAACTTATATTATATTAATGTCAAAAAGAATAAAAATCTATATGATTAACTTAATAGTTTACGTATTACAGGTATAATTGTAGTATGTATAGCAAGTATAGTAGGTAAAGTAAGTAAGGTAAGTACCTTTTTAATTTCTCGGTGTTGCAAAACCCCCTTGCACGAATATCGGTCGTCCATATACGGACACTCGACTTGTTCAGCATTCGAATGGCTAATAGTCAATTGCAAACAAGGTCTGCAGAAACAAACAAAAAAAGCATCCAATAGTCCATGAATCAGATATTAAAAATATACCTATGTTATTATTATACAATCAACATACATAATAATAACATGATATGATTACATATAGTATAAGTAATAGGTAATATATAAGTTTAATAATATGCAGAATAAAATAATTATATTACAAATACATGCGTTCGTGATCGAATAATATACTTAGTAGGTAGTAATAGGTAGTAAGTAGGGAGGTTGGTAGACACAGGTACATTTATATAAGTAGGTAAAAGGTAATTGAAATCGTATTTTTCCATACCTACAAAATACATGCAAACAATCACGTAACACAACGCCATTATTATCATATGTACATAAACACACAGCGCACTCAAAAGGACCGTTATGAAGTACTAGGTCACTTTGCATTTCCATGGCCATTAATTGATGATATTCGGGCGAAAACTTTTTACCGCCTGAAAAGTAGCAGATAAAATTTACTATATGTATACTATATAGTTAAGTCTGATAATACTTGTATAGGTACATGTATATATTATATTATAGATAGGTAAGTAATATTATATTATAGGTACATGATAAACGCTTGTCCCTAATTATTAGTTAGAAAATTATACGTTTGTAATAAACTTAATAAATTTGTATAAATTATGAAAATTAAAAAGTTAACATTTTAACTCTTAACGCGTTGTTTTGGATAGTACCTGAAATATTACTACCCAACTCGTTAAAATGAAAAATCAATTAGGTAGGTCGGTTTTTTTCGGATTCTGATTTTTTCGGAATAATATAATTTCTATAATCTCTATGTAATATCAAAAATACCAATAGACTATAGAGATATTATGGTTACATATTACAGTTAATTATAATTATCTAAAGTGATTTATGGCGACCCGTCGAGGTTTCCACACTGCCAACCTCACACGGTGGCCTCTCCTTTTCTGCCACTCAGCGTAGCCGGTCACGCACGTTTCTGCTCGTCTGCCATACTGACAAATATCTACGGACCTAATCGTTACTGCTTTCAGTAAACCATCAATAGTCGCAATTGTTTTCATTTAAAACTTATTTCTCAAATATGGAATTTATGTACAGTAAAAAAAAAAATAAAAAACTTGAAGGATTAGAGGGTTTTAAATTTGGATTTCATAAAAAGCTTGCAGACAACATTGAACGTTGGCCATGTAAGTGTACATTACCGTACTTTACTAACATTGCCTAAAACAGGTCTAGGACACTTCGCCGCTAGCCTTTTCACCGACGGGCTTATTTGTCAATAACCTTTCTGCCACCAGACTTTTCGCCGATGGACTTATTTTCTTAAAATAAATTAACACATTTTTCAAAAAAGAGATGATACTTGGGACGGATGCAGCCACCCGGGTGGTCAAAAAAGGAAATTTAAGTATTAATGTATTAGTGTTTTTTTTTATAATTGTTCAAAGATAAAATAGTACCTATTAGCAAAATCGTATTCTTCGGCATTCTTCATATTATTTTTCGATTTTATGTGAACATAATTTTTCGACCAATCTAAAATATTTGAAAATTGAACACGAATATAGGTTAGGTTATATCGTGTTATAACTTATTATAAGTTTTAGTTGGTGGTAAAATATAAATAAATTGTGTGTTACTCGTTACTTTTATTTTTATAAGCGTTTAAATATCAAACTTTGGTTTGACGGAAATTGTAAAAATAACGAAATTTTTCGTCGAAAATGTTATTGGCAAAAAGGCTACTAGCGAAACAATTGGCGGCAAATTATTTGTGGTGAATCAGTCCGCCGGCGAAATTTTTTCGACAATATTGTTTCGGTAAAAAGGATGGTTTCGGCCTAAAACATTGAACAAAACTTAAATGTATTGCTTTTAAAATTATTCAGGAACCAATTCGGATATCCTTCGTAATAACCTAGGAACTAATTCGGACGATATTTGAATGTTCTGACGTTGACATGACAAGGATTTATCTATCACATAAGTTGCCTAATATTTACTTCTTATAAAATGACTAATACATTTTACTAATTCAAGAGTTTACCGTACAAGGTTTTGCCGGTAACCCTTTTAGCCGACATATATTTCGTTCGAACCGTCTTTGTTGTAGATGAGAAGTTGGGAAGGTAGAAGAGAAATCTAATGTATGTCTATACACAAAGATTAATCATTATTAATGAAAAATTATTCTCATCGGAATTTGCTTATACATGATTTAAAGGCCGTAATATTTAAAATTTAAAAATAATAAATTTCGTAAATTTTCTCGTTTTCCCCCGATGTTTCACATTTATTAGGAATTGCTAAAACGTTCGCGCGTTAGTGTTGTTCTTATCTCGTTTTGATTATATTCTTTTTATTTCATTGACGAATAATATACCGAAAATTAAACAATCCGCGAAAAATCATTTGCAAAGTTTCGTGTTAGAGTACAGTATGGATATATTTAAAACCAATAGAACTATTTCTTTTTTGTAAGTTACTTATATGAGATGAAGGTAAACAGTGACAAAAAATGTGTTGTGACTCAGCACATTAATACTAAAAAACATAAACAAGCAGTTATCAGGAAAAATTAAAAGAACAAGAACACTGGAGTTCAACAGTTAGTCACTATATTGTAATACTCCAAAAAGTTTTTATTCTCAGAACATTCGTATAAAGCTTTTTTTCGGAAATTATTTTTAGAAAAGTTTATATTAAAAGAAATTTTTAGTGAACATATCTATGAATGAATTATGAAAAAAAACAAAATTTATAAGTGCATATTTTCAAACATATTTGTACTTTTTTAGTATTTTTTAAGGGTATTTAGTTCCGAGCCCTGTTGAAAATACGCATTGTTAAAAAACAAAGAAATGTGTATACGCCATATACTCGCGTATACACTTGACTACACTACTGGGAAGAAATTAACAGATGTAATTAGAATACTAATGTATGTAGAGAACAAAATGTATCCAGAAGAATGGAATATTATTATAATTCGCCATATAATATAATATATTTAAGAAAGGAAACCCGGCAAAAGTAGGTAATTATAGAAGTATTTTATGCTTATGACAACACAAACAGAAATTAACTATGGTAAGGATTAAAACTACTCGGAACACCAAAGAAGTACATGAACCAAATAAAAATGTGTTACGAGAAGACAATTACGAATACGTACAAAATACGATTTATCCAGAATGACTCGAAGCCATTTGAGGTAAAGTCCGATCTGCGCTAAGGATACGCACTGTCTCCTACATTATTTAATTCAACATTTGAAAAAGTGGTAAGAGATACAAATGAGCAACGAAAAATGGAAAAAAGAAGAGAATTGGTGATATTGGCATACGCCGATGACATTTTAGTTATAGGAGAGATTAAAGCGGAAGTCATACAAACAACCGAGAAACTACTTAAAGCATGCGTGTCAGTGGGACTGTGTATAAATGAAAATAAAACTAATTACATATTGGAGCAATCTAATCATAAACGATCTAGTGATTGGTAATATGAAATTAGACAGTGAACATCTTTAATTATTTGGTTTAACATCAATAACAAGAATACTATGTAACACGAAGTGGATAAATAAATTAAGAGTGAAAACAAGCGCTATTACTGTATAATTCAATTACTAAAATCGAAATTACGCTCATGAATTTCTCTCTCTTAAGGTACGCATTTACCTCTGTTATCTGGGTCAAATGTCAATAGTAATAGCAAGCAAGATATGGTCACTAACAAAAGGTGATGAAAGTTATTTATACTTGAACGAAAAATACTACGGATTCCGGAACATATATTGACCACATCTCAACCAAGAAACGAATTCCTATGAGAGAAAAAGAAATAAAAAATTACTGAAACTGTATAAGAGACCAAGTATTGTAGCGTTTATTAGGAATAAATAGTTAGAGGGATTTAGATGCATTTGGTGGGCAGATAGTCAACTTATTAAAAAATACCCGAAAGAAAAATTAATAGAACAAGACCCTTGAGAAGGCTCAGGATCCGGTAGATCTATGTAACTACCAAGAACTTGAAAGTGATAGAACAGGATATGACTTTTGAGTTAACCTAGGATAGAGGAAAATGAAGATATTTCTTGAAGGTAGCAATGGTCCTTAATGGACAGTTGAATGGAAAAGAAGAAGAAAAAAATCAAACAATAACCTCATAAATACCACCCCAGTCAGATTTGTTTTCAGAAAAAGTGCTACACTTGAAAATCTGAACAAAATTTTTGATTGACAAATTGTTCTCAAAAAATATAATAAAAAGTAAACATTATAGTAAAACCAATGTATTCCTCGCTCCTCTCAGAATCTAAAAAAGTAAAGAAAATTAATACAAATATTTCTTTTGCCGTAGATCTTTAAATTAAATAACTTCGAATTATGTAAGGAATTTAAATTTAAGCAGTGTTAGCAGAATAAACACTATCTATTCTCTTTCAGGAAAGTTAGCAATTGGTGTATCAGTCATTAATCAATTAAATATTAGATGTCCTTTGATGTCAATAGTTTTGGGATGAAATCAAAAAAAATTCACTTAATTGAAAAAAAAAATGTGCATAATATTAGGAGAGATTATAATATTTCACACAATATTAAACTGGATGCATAAAAGAAAATAGACGATAAGCCAATAATCGTATACGACAATTATTTATAAATTAATAGATTATCTAATAGTATTACCTGTAATTTGAATTCTTTCTTTCATTGGAATTCACTTTTTTCCGATTTTATTAGTATGCCAAAGATAAGTACTATTAAAGTTGACAGTAAGTTTTGAATTCTTTTTGTGGACTACTATATTTGATGAGCGAATACGACCAAAATTAAGCCAAAAAATATTGCAGTTGGCCATAATAAAGAGATAAGGTCAGATCTTTCAAAAAACGATAACGTTTGATAAGAAATAAATAAAAAGAAAACAAATTGTGTACATATTATTATTTTAAAATGAAGAGCATTGCCATTAGTTGTTTTATCTTTATTGCAAGTTGCAGTTAAATTTTTAGTTAAAGATTTTAAATTTTATAATTTCTACATAACAGTCAACAATTTCATTTATGAGAATTGAGTTGGACCATATGGTTGCAACTAGCAATGTCTTATATAGATATCTACAGTTTTCTTAGAATATTTTGTACGAGAAAACACTGAATTCATTTTCACTTAACTGTTAATTTATTTTAAAGAAATAAATAATATAATAGGAACACCACACAACATATATTACATTTCAATAAACAAATGCATCAATAACAAGAGCTTAAAAATATAATTGTATACAATTGTGTATAGGTGTTTGCATTTTTAATCAATGAAAATTTATTGGAAAATGTATTGTGTTAATTTTGACAATGATCCGGCATACATAAGTGCATGCTTACACTTAAATAATTTATATGCTTACAAATAATTTTAAAAAACAGAAATAATAATTTAAATTTTTTATAAATAATGCATATTTTTATCATAGAACATTTTTAAAATGTATTCGTTTAATTTGTTTTGTTTGTTCGTAATTGTGATTTAAGATTTACACGTTTTTTTTAAATTGTTCAATTTGTATTCAAAATATTATCAATGTTCTCAGAAAAAAAAATTGATTATAGCTCTCTATTATATATTTAATTTGTTAATCCCAACTTTTTTTTTCAAATATTAACTTAAAAATTACATACATTTCTTACATAAAACTGTAACTATAATGTTCTTGAGTGTTTTTTACTAAATTCTTCAATAACTTCCTCTGGAGTAATTTTAATATCCCTATGAGTATTAAGGAGTATAAGGCCAATAATTCTGTCTTCTCATATTGTTGATCTTAAATACATTTTTATTCGTCAAAATGGCGAAAATATTCTTTATCGGTGCTAGTGGTAACTGATACAACGCAAATAATTATTAGCAATTTCTTAGTATTTGGATAAAATTCAGATGCAGAATACGCATTTGGTATACTTACATTTAAGTAATGTGTATATAAAGCAAGATGCTGATTTTTAGTATTTAAACTTGTACGCCTAAATATTTTCTGGACATGTTAGCCCCGCCGTCGTATTCTTGATCACGCAAATATATTTATTAAGATTGAAATTATCTAATTGGAGTAGTATTACTTTGGACAAATTGTAACCAGATCCAGGTGTATTTTCAACAATAACTAATTTTAGAAAAACTTCTTGCACTTTATTATGAAAAACATAGCAAATACACAAAACTAATTGTTCACTTGTACTTAGGCTTGCCATTTGTACGGGTTTGACCGGGACAGTCCCAGTTTTAACGACATGTCCTGGTATCCCGGTCGGTCGTTAAGTTTGTCTCAGTTCATCCCGACTAAGAGAAAATAACTTTAATACTGTATTATTTAATAATAAAACATGTAATAATATTTACACTGTATCATTATATGATTATCTTAATATTTTATCTAAATGACTAAATCTAATCGGCATAATTTCAGGTTTATCTGTCTTTCTGTCTTTATAACCGTATAAAAAATGCCAAACCTTCTAAACAATTTTTAATGATAAGCGAGAAAAAATTGACTATGGTTTATTCATGGTCAACTTGTTTTTTTCAATAATTCTATTCAAGCTATGGAAAAAACAATTCAATTTCAACGGATGTAGCAAATATTCTAATGAAATTGCAAAATAATATCATGGAAAGAAAGGATGCTAAATTTGTCACATTAGGTGAAAAGAAGACCTTGAACACTTTAACTAACGAGGAATTCAGTATTTTAAAAATAGAAGAAGACTTTAAACTATTTTACGAAAGATGTACATATCCGACTGTGGGAAAATAGTTTTAGTGATGCATCTAAATCTCCTTGGGTGGATGAAAATTAAATTAAATGGGAACATTTTTAAAAGCTTCAGAAATTATAAGCAAGAGTCTAAAAAGACATCCTATTATGATAAGAATGAGTGCAGCCACTGCTATAGGTAATTTAATGTATATCTGTAAGCAACGATAAACCATTGCTTATGAAAAACGATTATGAGCGGAGTTCAGTTGATAGTGATGCTTTGTCAACAGTATATGCAGGCTATAAAGCCTAAAATATATAATATTTTGTTAATAAAATTTGTTTAATGTTGTACCAATTTTCCCAGTTTTTCTATGCTTTTCCCGATTTTCCCGGCTTTTCACATTTGCTAAGAAATCTATAGAGGAATATCGAAAAATGTCCTCTTTAAAGTACCTTCGTAGTGAAATTTCCTTTTAGAAACAGTGCTATCATTAAAAGTTGGAGCAATATTGCTGGTAGAAAAATTGTGAATAAAAAAAAGAAGGCCGTAATATATTTTAACTAATACCTACATTTCTTATATTTTTCCGTTTAACCTCCCTAAGCAACTTTTCTACCCCGATTTCCTTTCAGAAAAGGTGCTACATTTAAAAATCTGAGCAAGTTTTCTGGTAGAAAAGTTGCGCACAGAAAAATAAAAAAATAAAACTAAAAATAAACATCTTTATAAATCCATAAGATTCTTCACTCAACTCAGAATTTAAAAATAAAATTATGATTAAGATCAGCTTTTTGATGAAGTTGTGTTATCTAAAGAATTTTGGTTATTTAAAGTTAAAGTTTGGAAAGAAGAAGAAAAAATAAAAACCAAGAAAAAAATTTATAAGTGAAGAAAAATGGGTGCAGCTATTCTATCATTTCAAAGGAAAAGATATGTTAGCATCAAATCTACAATTAATTTAGTAGTATATCTTTTGTTTGCTAGGAACTTCTGCTCTAGTATAAATAACTTTTTTGCTTATGAAAAACGATGAATAAAAATACTGTACGAGGTCTAATAATGGTGTGTAAAATTAATTTTGGTTACAACTAGTATCGAATTTTATTAAAATATTAAGAATAATATAACTCTATTGAAGAAAATGAATTCAAACGAAAAATACCAATATAAACAATAATAACAATAGTAAAAAATTAATGTAAAATAATTATAATAAATAAATATTTAAATTTAAAAAAGAACTGATACTAGGGATGGGAGTATCCACTGTTATAAGCGAGAAGTTGGGAGATAGGATACATAAGGTTATTTTATTTATATCTGTAAGCAACGATAAACCATAGTTTGACGAAAAACGATTCTGAGAGCAGTTCGGTAATACATAATTTGAATTTTCGTAATTTTTTTTGCGATTTTCGTTTGGATATGATTTCAAAATGCTTATTAAAAAATAATAATAGGCCAATGATTTTAGAAATTTTACCACGTCTAGGCAAGTCCAATATTAGTATTATTACCAAGTTTCAAGTCTCTACGTGTATTTATAACCGAATTACAGCAAAAAATCTACCAAAAATTAAAATTGTTTAAAAGCTCAAAAGTTTTGGCAGTGATAATGTAAGAAAGTAAATCAGAAAGGCAACAAAAAAGGTGTCTTGTAATTTTTTGATTAAATCATTTTTTTCTGGTAGAAAACTGGGAGAACGGAAATATAGGTACAATATTACATAAATATTATTAAATGAAACTAGTACATAACGAATACATTGAATATTTAATATTTGTATAATAAATAATAAAAATGGCGTAGTAGGTACAAATGCACAATCACCAGTTCCATCATTAATGATATTTATTAAACAATGTTGCCACTTAATTTACAATATTAATCACGCGTGTCACCCACACAAGTTCTTGAAGTTACTGCTGCCGTCGAGTGGTAATCGTTAAGAAAGAGAACCGTGATAGTCATAACAGTGCCACGCACGCCAGTTTACAAACCATTCCATTCGATCAGTACCAGTCCCATTTTTTTAATATTACCATTCTATATTTCTATTCATAGTAAACAGCTTCCATAGTTTTTCTCAGTTTAACATGGCGTAGTTCACAATACACATTCCGACTTCTTTGGGTTCGCCCATCAGAATTACCTACTCCCTTTTTGCTCACTCACTCCAACCATACTTTCTTTCCAAACTTATACAGCAGTTGCAGTACCGTAGGCGGACTGTTGACTGTTGTATTTGTTTATTTCATACTTTCTACTACCTGGTTGTTGTACTAATTGTCACTTCTGTCTATTACCGTATACTTAGACGTGTTTTTTCATTCTTGTACACATAGACCTGTTCATTTCTGCACACATTACGATCGCACAATCGGCTATACAACGTTGGGGAACGGCTCATCACACTACGAGCGATAGCTTGCAAGTCGTCACTCATCTATTACCCAACGCATGTATAGCCGATTAAGTACCTAAACAGTACAGTGGTTTCGGTGACAGAGTGTTAGAAGATCCATGTTTATTTAAAAATTTAAATAAACAAATTGGTGTTCATATTGTAACGATTCGTCGAACGTCTAGCGAACTTCTCACGGAGTACCTGAGGTAAATGACAATTCTCAACTTTTTTGTGTAATAAAATATTAAGTAGAATAAGTAGATACAAGAAATACAATAAATCACTGCGACGAGTAATAGGCGATCATTAGTGAATACAAAACGCGTTTATGTAAACAAAATATGTACCACACTATTAAAATCATACGGAGAACCATAATTCTAATCATCTATTAAACATATTATTGTACAATTTTTTTACGACGCGCAGGTCAGTTATGGACATACACAGCAGTGACATTATTCTCACCATTACGCGTATATTATCATCACATCCAAAACGGCGGATGATCCCGTGGCCTGTATTGATGCATAACAACATCCGAATTCACTTTCATTCGTACAGATAATAATACGTCGGATTTTTATCAACCCGTTGACGAGATATTCCGCTTCTAAGTTTCATCCAAAGGGGGGGGGGGCGGATGAAACACTATTAAAATGCTGCACGCCGTACCGCTACAAAATAATCAATGCACTGCCTAAACTTAAAAATGGAATATTTTGTCGACTGATTGACGGAATACTTCATCTATTTAAGGAAGTCCAATATAGGAGGTGTCCATTGGAAAATCAAAAGTAGGTGGTCGTTTCACTCGCAAAAATAAGGGTAACGAAAAAAACTATAATTATAACTTTTACAATTATTTGTTTCTTAGGTTTTAAAAAAAAAATTCCGAAAAAAATTAATATCAACCGAGATAATAAGTGTTTCCAGTTGAGTGAATACCCCTGTGTATTATAACATTATAATATGGGGATATTGTCCCATTTCAATTTGAAACATAGCGTATTTAATTTTAGTTTTGGCCAACTTAAATTAAGTCAATATATTGATATGCTACACAACGAATTGCATACAAATGAAAAAACACCTTAAGCTCTTAAATAATGAGTGAACATTAAAACTGATTCAATTTGGACGTACACATCAATATTTTGTTTCGAAGTTTTCAAAACGAATACACTGCCCGTTTATACTCTATCCTATAGAGTATAGAAAAGAATAGGTGTTTTATGAAAACAGTATATCGGGACAACCTAGGCTCTAAATTAGATCCTCTAGAGTCTAGAGGATAACATTTGCAAATATTAAACAATAATTATTTAATAAGAATAAGTACAGATTATTCTGTACGCACTTATCTGAATATTATTATAATTACACCTATATAGATGGCCTTTGATCGTTACTAAATTATGATTTTGTAATGTTCCATAAACTAAATAAATGATTCGTGTAACCCTTAAGCGGAGCCTCACCTGTTGAGCACTCACTGCCGCTTTTGTCGATTGCAGCGGTCCCGTGTCCGGTGCTTTTCGATGAAGTCAACGGTATTTTCGACACGACGACGGATCCGGTCGTTTGCGTTCCCAACGACGATTTAATGTCGCTGGTCGAGCTCACGGTGGCCGTCGCGTGGCCGTTAATACCGTCACCTCCGTCATGGATTTGTTGCGCACCGACTAACCGTTGCTGGAAGAACGCCAAACGTTTGTGCCGTACTATTTGTTTTTCGTCGTCCGCCTCCGTTTTATCGCTTACCGCCGTCTTAACACTAGCTACCGTTATATTGTTTACTTTCGATGGTGTACCGCTACTGGCAACATCACGGCCACCAAGAACCGGCTGGCGTCCGTCCGTCGTGGTGGTCAATTTGGCCACCGTCGTCGGATACGATTTTCGAATAACCGCCGTGACGATTGCGTTTTTGTGATCGGACGTAATGACCGCCGGCTGTCTGGGCACCACAACTGTAGCCACGGGCACCGAAGATGCAATAGTCTTAACGGCCTTGGAAGTAGACGACATGATGGCATTGGCTGCTTCAGACGACGGGGCCGTTTTTAGTCGGTTCAGACGACATATCTCGGCTGCGCGTTTGTCTAATTCTGTCAGATTGGTGGCGGCCATGGCCGTGTATAACGCAGCCACCGACGTGAATCCGTTACTGATATTCGTTATTGTTGTCGGTTTAGACTTTTTGCCACTGTCTTGGACTACCGCAGCCGCAGTCAAAACAACCTTCTCCCCACGCAAAAAATGTTTCTCTATCTTGTCTACCCGTTCCATGAGCCGTTCCTTTTCGTACTGCGTTATTTTCCGCCTGACATTCGATCCACGCGGTCGTCCGCCGTCTACGTCGTCAGTTTCCGATTCAACGATGGCGGCCGGTCTATCCGGCTTTGCAGGTTGCCCGACGGGTGGCTTTGGAGCCGGACCCTTTCTGTGGCGATGCGGTGGGACGCCAGGACGGCCGAGTTTCTGCTGTGGCGGGCGCAGTTCAGCGGATGTCGTTGTCTTGATTACAGCGGTGGTCATGGGAGGCTGCGGCGCTCTGTACTTTTGTCTAGCCATCGTCACCGTACGTCTTTGCATCGACGTTTTCGCCATTCCGGCGGACGACGACGGCCCGGCCACTGCTACCGGAGGAGGCGGTAGCGGTGCGGCCTTCTTATTGTAGCGCCGTTTCGCGGTGGCCGTCATCGTGCCCGTCGCCGTCGTGACCGTAGGCGACGACTTTTTGCAGAGCGACTTGCCCGTGACAGACGACGGGCACTGTCCACGGTCGGACCGCCAACGAGACACCGGTAACGTGGCCGCATCGATGTACTCAACCACGTCGTCCACCGTGTTCACCAACGACGGTACGCGTTGTTGGTGGTGGTGGTCGTCATCGTCTCCATTCCCCTGATGACATATACCGTCCACGTAAGCAAAACTGTACACGGTCGTCGTACTGCCGGACCATTTGGACCACGTAGCCGCTGCCGTCGGTCTCCGCCGGCGCTGCGCGATCGGCGTCACGACCACGTAGTCCGGTTCGTTTTCCCGGTAAGCTTGCTGGATGCGCTTAAGGTCGTCCCGGAACCAGGCTGAATCGATTTTGCCGCCCCCGCCGCCATCGTCGTCGTCGTCGTCGTACCGCTTACTTCTCCGGAACCAATTCATGATGGAAAACGACGAATACCTGCGCGGTCTTTTCTGGGTGGCGTAATATCGGTAATGATGTTGGCGATCACCGACTCGTACGATTTCGTCCGCTGCACCGCCGTGCAACGTCCGGTTACGATCGTACGACGATAACGTGCCCGCCATAGTGTATCAATAATAATGTTAATAATAATATGCACTAATCGAGTGTACGAAAGCGAGTGAAAACGAAAAAAAAAAAACAAAGTAATAATAAAAATCACGGTTTTTAAAACATTCAAGACGATCGCGGCTCCGTCAATCCCGCGTCCCGCGAAAAATAATCGAAGACTATAATGTAACGTTATAACATAATATAGTGACTAGCTACTGTGGCAGCTGTCGTGCGATCGAATTCCAGTGTCCGGCGGCTAAATCGCGTCACGCGCACAGTGACAATTATAATTATTATTGGCCGCCGCCACAGCTGAAATTGTCTGCGCGCGTAGAGTTGGCATGAGATTTTAATATAAACTATTTTTGTTATAAGACGAGGAAAAAAAAAATATACGTCTCGAATTATCTGTAGCGTGACGCGGGCGCGCTCCACATACTACCCGTTACGAAATTAGTGTTTTTGGGAATAGACGATGATGTGTATTTTTATAATAGTTTTTTTTTTTTTTTAAATATTTTTTTATATTTCGGTACCTATATAGTATATTATACCTACACATATTTGTAGTCGTAGAACGCACAAATTATACATCATAGGTATTGGTATTCGGACCTACTTACCCGAACAGCCAAATACTTTTAAAATTGTGCTTATAAAGTTATAAATACTGTAAAAGTACAAAATTCTCGACCATCATTCTCAACGAGGAAAAACGATTTATTTTTCGCGTACACATTTCATATGTTACGTGAAAATAAAATAAAATACTTTATACGCGTATAATACAAATATTATGTATTTGAAATACTGCGAATCCTTGTAAAATGATAACATAATATATTTTGAATTTGAAATCGCGTTGTTTTTTAAAAATATTCATTGAATGCTGAATAGGTACCGTATAAAATATATTATGTTATAAACTACCATGATAATACTGTGCATTGTAATATTATTTTAAAGTTTGATTACAACTACGACGCCGAACATTTAGTATGCACGGAAATAATTATACAATTCGTGACGGATATGCACTAGGAAGTCTATTTTATATAAGTTTTAAAAATCATTCTATTTCTGTAATAATATAGATGATGTTGGGAGCATCGCGACCTGTTTTTGTGTGTAATGTTACTCCTTACTGTTATTTGTGATGTGAGTGTAAATACTATAGATACATAACATAAATAATGTATTTAATCCACATGATTACACACGCATAATAATCAATTTAGGAAATATTAAATTAGAATTACTTACATAATTTACAAAATACAACAGAAAAATTTGTAAATTCTTTAACCTTTTTAATTTAAAATAATGTTGACAAATTAAAAGTTTTAGATTCTAAACATAGTGAAGAATCTATTGATTTTACTAGGTTTTTTTAAAATATTTTTTCTATCTAAAAACAACTTTTCGATATATTATTCTGCAATTGAAAAACGACAAAAGACGTTTTTTGTTACGTTTTTACCAAAAAAAATTCCATCCCCGGTATCAGCTCTTTTTTAATATCTTTTTATTATATTCATACAAAAATATTGCACATAAATGTTGTGTTTTTTTTTATTCCAATTTTTCTTATCGCATCAGATATTAGATATTCAGATTTATAAAAAGTGCTGATACTGTGGATGGGGGCGGCCACTGTTGTAGATAAAAAGTTGGGAAAGTAGGATAAATAAGGTTCTTTGGTTTATATCTGTAAGCAACGAAAAACCATTGAGTGACGAAAGACGATTACGAGCGCAGTTCGGTAATACATAATTTGAATTGTCATAATTTTTTTTTTCCGATTTTCGTTTAAATTTGATTTCAAAACGCTTATTAAAAAAAAAAAAAAGTCGTCTAATGATTTTGGAAATTTTACCACGTCTAGGTAAGTCCAATATAAGTATTATAACCAAGTTTCAATTTTCTACGTGTATTTAAAACCGATAACAGGAAAAGAACTCCCAAAAATTAAAATTTCTTAAATGCTCAAAAGTGGCTCAAGAGTTTTGATCATCATACCGTAAGAATCTAAATAAAAAAGGCAACAAAAAAAATGTGTTGTAATTTTTCGATTAAATCATTTTTTTTCTAGTAGAAAACGTCATCCGTGTTTTTATAACATAATGAAATCGTAAAATTGTACGTTTTCCTACGTTTTTTCTCACTTAAGTGCTTTTATTTTAAAAACAACTTGAATTTTCAGAAAAGTTGCTTTACGTAAAAATCGGAGCAAGTTTACTATTAAAAAACGTGTCTTCAGACTAGATGAAGAAAAAAAAAATAATAAACATTTTAGTAAAATCAATAGCTCCCTTGCTACGCTCGGAATCTAAAAAATTGTAATACTATAAAGTTAAGAATTTAACTTAAACACAACAAAAATGAATTTTAAAAATTATAATTTCACGTTCATCTATTTACTATGGACTGAACCGTAATTTAATAGATAATTAATAGAATAATAAAAGTAATAGATTTTATTTGGATTTGAAACACAGATATAATATTTTGTTTATATATCTATGGTTTGGAACAGTTATCATGATCACTACTATGCTCCCACGCTCCGTGACGTCATTACTAATATGGTCTATACTGGTGAAGTAAGTTTTATATTGTAAGCAGTGGCGTATATAGGGAGGGTCTCTAGTGAAATTTCAGATTCAATAAAAAGATTTTATGCATATTGCTTACACCTGTGTGTTTAAAGTGTAGTTGTTCAATCAGTCATCAGTGAGATAAGATCAAATGTCAAGAGAGAATTTAAAGAAGTATTTAAATCTGTAATTAATGTAGCTAATAACCTGAGTATTACAAAATTGATGCCAAGAATTGTCAGTACACTTATCATAGACAAATTTATTCTATCAACTTTTAAAATTTTAGAATAAGTTTATTAAATGTTAGATTGCCGAGCCTTGCGTTGATAACGATTCATCATAACATAACTCTAAATATTAAAGGAATTGTTAATATTTGTATTGAAAAAAAAAAAAATGTATTTCACATAATATTTAAATAATGAATTAGTTAAATGTTTCCATATGGATTCCTCAAAAACATTTTAAGCCTATTTAATGTATAAAAAAAATGCTAAATTTATTATATAATTTAATAATAAATATGTATTTAAAATTATAATTCCTCTATTTGTATTATTAATATTAAAATCAAAACTACCTAGCTCCCTAAAAGTAACTTTGTTGGTGGAAGATTGGCTTATAGTGAAAATATTTCCTATATACGCTACTGATTGTATGTACTAAATTGGACTTTTCGAATATCATTCTGTGTTTAAATAATTTAAAGATTTTAATGTATTTTCAACCATGTTTATTATTATTATTTGTAATTACATATTCTTTATTATAGATGGTCAATGTTAAGAAAGTTCTTTTTAAAAAGGAATTCGTTCCCATTTCTCGTTTCTTAAAAAAAATGAGTAGTTTTTTTTTCTTTTGTAAATATGCATATTACCTATTCATAAAAAAAAAGATAACGGGGAGGGGTGCAACTACCATTGTAGGTGGGAAGTTGGAAAGTTAAAATAACTAAAATTGGAAACTATACTTACTTCTTAGAATTTACATGTTTAAAATCCTAATAAATGTAATTAATTAATTTCCTAGTTCCTTACCAAATACAAAAAAACATATTACTTGAAAAAAATTCATCATCAGTTTACTCGAAATTCAAAATATAATATTTTATTAATTATACAAAAAAAAAAATGAATACACTTAACCAAAAAATGCGTTTCTTCAAAAAACTGTGGAAGGTGTATAAAAATTATTAAATAAGTGGAATAGGCTAAGAAAGGGCAACACTTGGAAAAAACGCGCCATTTGCAGTACCATATAGTTTTCAAACTTGAGGTGATGAGAAAATCTGAAAAATGTTGATGATTGATATGTGTGTGTATTATTAATACTAACAACACTATTATCAGCTTATCTGCCAAACCACATTGGATCGCCGCCGATAACGTCTGGTCGTGATTCGTAATAGCCTTGTATAATATGTTTTTTTGTATCAATTTATAAGTTAGCAAACCATTTGTTTATGTATACCCGTGTGATCAAGTTTCCGATTACACTATTATTATTTTCCTTTTGTTACTATTTTCATTTGTATATATGTATTGCGCGCAAATCTAACTTTAGTCAACTCTGTACCAGCTTATTTCTGTTTTGTATATTTAAATATAATAACGTGCGGGCCTTGCCGCACGTCCCTATTAACTAACTTGTTTAACGTAATTTATAAGTGTGGTCGTCTAGCTCATAATCCCCAACCATCCCAAAATATTCGTCTGTTCTCCGACGATGTAGTTGTTGATGCTAACCGCCCATTGGTAGGAGTATCTCGGCTAAACAATAATGATTATGTTTTTGAAGAAAATGTGTCTGGCCAAAAATTTTAAGCAGGCTTAAACTTCTCAAGACATACCTTCGCTCAACAATGACTGAAAACTGGCTATCAAATTAGGCAATATTAAGCATAGAAAGCAACAAAGCTTAAACAATAAATTTGAATAAAGTAATAAGTAGATTTGTATTAATAAAAAAACATAGAAAATTATTGTAATACTATACTTACTTTTATTTTTTATTTTTTTATATATGAATTATTTTTGTATTGGATTAGAATTTATAACTACCTTTTACTATGAAAATGAAAGCAGTTATTAAAAACTCTGATAAATTTAATATACTGCAACTATATGTATACAAATATAATAATAAATATGAACAATCTCTTCTCAAAATCTAAAATACTCAAAATGATTTAAATATTCCAGGCAAGTTTGTTAAGTGAATATCAATTTGAATGCAACAAATAAAAAAAAAATTAAATTTGAATTAATTAACAACACCAAAGTTTGTAAATAAGTTTTAAATTTTACTAAAAAATTAGTTATGACTTATGGCCTCTCGTAAGTGAGGCAGATTCACAGTACTAAAATCCTGGATTCGCCACTGTATCTAACACTATAAGAATGATAAACATCAAGTAATTTGATATGAAATCAAATTGTACACACTGTGAAACAATTAGTTTGTGTACATAATCATTTTTTCACTGTTAACAAATTTTATTTAATAAAGTTAGAACTGTTAAAGGGAGGATTTTTAGGCATCTTTTACTGTTTTAAATAATTTTAACTGATAAAATATTAAACATTGTCTACTAAACAAATTATAAGGTAAAAATATAAAAGCATTAATTGTTACCATATTTATAATTATTTTACCGAAAAAATTAAATTGTTTAAATGAGTTTTAAGTTACAATTATTCTTTGCAACATATTCACAAGAACATCATGAAGTTGGTCGAGCAGTCATTAAAATAAAATGGATAATAATTATGTTTTACTTTATTAATTTGATAAATCAAGAGTAAACAATAAGAACAGAGATATTATTCTTATAGTACTGGACATTATACTGGTCTCAATTATTTATTTTTTAAATTTTCTATATATTGTGAAACTTATTTGTTTATGTACATATCTGTGTTTTGATAAATGCGTTTTGGCATCAGCAAAAATCCTGAAAAAAAAATAATAATAAATACATCATATTAGTATAATAGATTTATAGTTTATATTAAATACTTAATACCAATTCACAAACAAAAGTTATCCTTCGTAACATAAAAGGTCAAATGTAACAATGTAAATTAAAATAATTATTATAAAAAACAAATATTATTTATTATCATTCCCCAAAATATAAACATCAGGGTTACTTACACTATTTTTGTTTTAAGTATTAATAAATTACATTGATTTGTAATATGAGCGTACTCAGAGTTTCATCCAATATGTATTTGATTAATAGTTTTAAATTATTATTTTAAATGATACTATATAATTCATTGATATTCAAACAAATTAAATCAAATAGAATAATTTATTTTAAACTTTTTTTCATATAGGAAATCAAGTGGTTACTTTCAGGCATCATGCAATTCTAGAAGACAATATTGTTCATATTTTGAATGCTGACAAAATTTGTACTCCAAACTACAACTTAATTTACAACTAATTAAAACCATCGTGCTTTTTAAAGATTTGATCATGTATGCTAACTGTAATCACTAGTGGGTAGGTATCATGTATTATTTTGTACATAAATTGTGTTTCTTTGAATTTCTATAAATTGGTATCAGTGTAGTGTTGATGAAGGAAAAATAGTCTAATTAGTTTGGCATCAAATAGTTTAAATCAACAGTCATCACAGAAATGATTGAAGAAAAATTCTAAATTACCTTTCATGTTTCAGTCATCTCAAAATACTGTGCGATTAATAAACACAACCATTGTAAATCAATTGAATAATAATGTACTCACTTTGTATTATAATAATTAATTGTTCACCTGACTCTCTGTATATCATACAATAATAATCATTCAATTTTGTTTTTAGATCATAATTTATATTTTTATCACAGCAACTAAAAATGTTCCACTAGCAATATTTGATGAGAAAGCCCAGTGGTTCCGAATTTTGTAGACAATGTTACCTATGAAGCTCCTGATTAGTACTTTTAATGGTTTAATAACTTGCCCACCCAATACCTAAAAATTAATTGTTTAACCGATTCTATTACCGTCTAATTGTGTACATATGTTACCAACCCAGATCCTGAAATTGTTCAACGTGTCTGTTTATTGCCTATCTTACTTTCGAAATATTCTATTGTTTGAAAAAAATATTTCTATACCAAACAATATCACACAAATATTGCCAATGTTCATTTCTGAGTTTTCATATATGTTTGCACAATTAAATATAAAATAATATTTTTATTTTATTTATTCATTCAGGACTTTCAGTACTTACCAATAATACATTAATGACAATTATAGGTACCTAGTTTATATCCAATTTTATTTATGTGAAAGAGTTATTTTTAAAAGTATTTTTGTAAACAAGTCTTTCCAAATAAAATCAATAAACTTCTTTCTTTTTACTATCTATAATATATCTAAGGCTTTCAGTATTTATTTAAGATAACTGTTACTTAAAAATTAAATAATATTAATATTATTTTTAGACAAATAGGTCTATTTATATAGTTGTATTGGCCAAATAGACATAGAAATAGAAAAAAGATAGCCTTCTACTATATCAGTTGTAGTAGTATTTGAAATTACTTGTTAAAATTGTGTACTATTAAAAACAATATTGTAAACAACTATATTGTACATATTATAAGGTTGTCACAATATTGAATCATTGAAATTCCTTAATTTTTATACTCAGCCACTCAGCTATGATAAAACAAAGTACATATAATAATAAGAAATATCTAACAAATGAGAATTTAAAAATAATAAATCTGAACACTTCAAAAAAAAAGTGTAAAATTAATATCAATAAATATAGGTACCTATCTAGGTATTCATTCCAGGGATTACATGGAATGCACAAGGGTATGCAATAAAAATATGTTTTAATGTATACAACAATTTTAATCAATATCTATCAATTTATTCATTCTTGGAATTAGAAACAGGAACTTTTCATTCACTGTTCATACCAAACAACTGAAATTTTGGAATTTAAACAATGATTGATAATAGACTGTGCTTTAAATTGTGATTTTTAGCTCAATACATTTTCTAACAAATAAATTGTTATCACTGATAATAAACAAGTCTTTGTTTTTTATCACCCAAAACCATGTTCTTTTTTACAATTTCCAATAAAAATCTAATAATTATAATTTATTTTGTAGATGAACCAAAGGGTGGACACCAATAAAAACATGGGCGTCATAAGTATTATATAAAAAAACTTTATTTTTTTTTTTTTACTAAACACTTGCCATTTTATTTCAAATGAAACCTAGTTGGTTTGAAATTATAGAAATGTTGCCTCAAATTAATAATTAGGTACTCATAAGTACTAAGTAGGCAATTATCAGTACACCTATATGTCTTATATTTTAATACAGGTGCCTATAGTATGACATGCAATGTAGGTATATTAAATTTATTATCAATATAATATTATCAATTGTAATTTGCAATAAGTAATTGATATTACGTTAAACAATGGAAAGATAGGTAGGTAAATAATAATATAAATATTATGAAAGAGTTCCTGGTTAGAAATTTCACTACATTATGATAGTTACAAAAAAATATTATGTGTATTAAAATTAGGTACCTATACTATAAAACCTAAACGTGTTGTAGATCACAGGTGAAGTAAATAGAAATGTTATTCTTACCTATCATTATGTATAAAATGTAATGGAAATACATATCTATATCAGGTAGCTAAATAGGTAACTTTGTACTTAACTGCCAATAGTATTAAATAATATATGATTGGTTACTGTTTTAATTTGTCAAGATCATTAAAAAAAATGAAAAAAGTTATTCTACTTTTTTCAATGAGCTTGACAAATTAAAATAGTATATAATCATATATTATTTAATACTCACTAACTATGATGGTAATATAAATTATAATTAATAAAATAATAATACTTTAAGTGTGTTTAAGTACAGATATTATGATGTACAATTTATAAACTTAAAAATACTTTTTTTTTAATGCATTTAACAAAGCCATTACACCAACATTTAAGTAATAACCACAAATCTCTAATTTAACATCCACAAATAATTTCCCAAGCTGGTTAGGTTAGGTAAAATAGGATAATATTCAAAGATTTTTTTTTTGGATTTAAGGATATTTTAGTTTTAAGAAAATATATAATGCATACTTATGCAATTATTTTATCATAATATACCATACATATTGTTGATGAAATAACACTATCAAATGAACTCTGATTAATAATTGTATACAGATATATATTAAATTTCCATCTACTACTTTCCCAACTTCTTACTCACCTGCAACAGTGGCCCACTCCAGTGCATATTTCTGTCTTTTTAAACCTTGTATTATGATTATTGACTCACTTATTGCACTAGAGAATCAATGGTATCTTTATACTTAAACATAGATCAACAAATATGTTTATAGTAATGTGCACTTAAGTTAAAACTATAGTCTTTGTAGAAATTATTATTTGGGTATTGGGTATAACCTTGGATTAAAAATAATAAATTTCAAAAGGGAATTAATAGTATAATTTTATTTATTTATTTGTATATTGTATTTACCTCCTCGAAAGGTAAACCATAAGTAATAATAAACTGAATTAAGCTCATATATGTTATAACTAGAGACTAGATATGCTCTTAAATGCTCTATAAATAACTAAATATTTTATGAAATTGAATTTTTTTTAAAAAAAACTTGTTATTATTAATATTAGTTGATAAATTATCATCTAAAAAATGTTATGTCTAAAATTAGATTGTTAATACTATAAGATTTTTCAATATTTCATTGTAAAGACTAATGAGTTATTATCCAATCAATTTTTAACTGATGATAAACCTACATTAGCTTTGAGATAAAGATTATCTATTGAATACTCATTAAATAATAAGACAGTATCATCAGCATAGTAGATAATTATATCATCAATGTTAAGATTTAATAATCCATTTATATGTATATACAAGAAATAAAACTGGACCTAATACTGTACCTTGAAGGTCACCAAAAGTAATCACAACTTTATTACATAAACAATTTTTTATTTTAACTATTTGAGTTCTATTTGAGAAATTACAAGAAATTTAATATTTGAGTTTTAAAGTAGTCAAATAAGAATTTCTATGATTTATATTGAATTGAACAGTAGGTATGAAACAAAACTTATTGTAAAATTGAAATACAATTATCAAGTCTGAGGTATG